GATGGTTACTTCTGTTTTACAGATGAGGAAACTGAGGCACAGTAAGAGCAAATAACATGCCCAAGGGCATATGCCAATAAATGATAGAGTCAAGATTCATACCCAGGCAGGGCCTCCCAGGTCTCAGCTCTTAAGGACCACTGGCATGCTATAGTGGAATGTTTAGAAGCAGAAGTCATGATGAATCCAAATATTTTCAAGCCTGAGTGACTTAGCAAATGTTAATGCCATTGATGGATTACATATATCAAATGGGAGTATTATTAGCCTGTGGGAAAGAGGGTGTACTTGACTTTTTATACATTTTGTTTATGGTGACAAGAACACATCTGAGTAGAATGTCCCGTGGGAAATTAGAACTACAGGACGAGCTTGGGGAGACACAGTTGCAAGTTTGTTTGTTTCTTTCTTTCTTTCAACCCTTGAAAAATGTTGTGCCACTTCCTTCTGGCCTCCATGATTTCAAAAGAGAAATCTGCTGTCATTCGAATTGGTGTTTGCCTATAACTAAGACATGCATCATTTCTCTCTGGTTGCTCTTAAGATTTTTTCTTTAGTTTCCAGAAATTTAATTATGCTGTGTTTTGATGAGGATTTCTTTCGATTTATCCTAGTTCAGATTCATATTAGCTCTTGAGTCTGTAGGTTTTGTTTTTCACCAAATGGAAGTTTTCAGCCATTATTTCTTTGAATATTTGTTAAGGCCCACAATCTTTCTTGTCTCCTTCTGGGATTCTGATGATATCAATGTCAATATCTTTTGTTACTGTGCCACAGATTGCTTTTCTTCCCCCACTCCCTATTCTCTTGTTTGTCAGATTGAGTAAATTTGATTGAACTGTTCTCAATTCAGCGATTCCATCTTCTGTCATCTCCACTCTACCACTGAACCCATCCAATGAGGGTTTTTTTTCTTTTTTAATTTTGGTAGCTCTGCTTTCAGTTCTATAATTTCCACTTGGTTCTTTTTTGTAACTTCCGTTTCTTTGATGAGGTTTTATATTTCTTCATATGTTTCAAGGGATTTCATAATTACTTGCTGAAACCATTTTATGGTAACTGCTTTAAAATCTCTGCCAGCTAGTTCCAACATCTGATTCATCTCACTATTGGTGTCAGTTGACTATCTTTTCTCACTCACATTGTGATTTTCCTGGTTCTTGGTATGACAAGTGATTTTTTTTTTTTTTACTGTATCCTGGGCATTTTGCAAATTATGTTAGGAGACTCTTAATCTTATATAAATCTTCTATTTTAGTAGGCAGCCACCCTGTTTGGGCTTTGGATTTTTTTCTTAAGGTTTACTTTTGTAGTCTATAGTTTCAGTGACAGTTTTCTGAGCTCTTGCAATGCTGTTTTGGTCTACTTTGTTCTGGTTTTGCTTAAGCTCCCACTGGATCCCAGCATGTGATGCCTACATGGATATCATTGGGCAGATACAGGGGGATGCCCTAGATCACCACCTGCCATTGCATGGAGACCTGGGAGACACCGGGCCGGCTGGCACGACTAGCGCACATGAATGTATCTACATTGTTCACTTTTTATTCTAGTATTTTTATGATTTTATCTTTTTACTTTTTATTTTTAATCGATCTAAAATTCATTTTGATATCAAGAGTGAGGTGAAGAATACTCTTCTCCCCCCATTGGGGAGCCAATTACTCTAAAACCATCTGCTAAAAATTCCACCTTCTCCTTATAAATTTGAAATGCTACCTTCATCAAATTCTCAATTTACATGTGCATTTATACCTATGGGCCGAACTCTTTTTCTTGGATTTGTCTACTTTTGTCGCTGCTTGAGTTACTGTAGAGTTAAAAATGTTTTCATATTTGACAAGGCTAGTCCCTTCTCTTTAATTTGCTGACTGTGTTTTGCTTTTTAAAAGGATTTGCGACATGGCTGCAGGGCAAAGACAGGCAAAGGAAGATGTGGCTTGACCTGATAGAAGTTTCTTGCAGTGTTCCAGGAGAGAGATGGTGGAACTATCAGGTCAGATAGATTATCTATCCCATTGTCTTCCAGATTTCAGTCATTTTCTGGTATACCAGCTGTGTAATTTTTGACATATCTATATGTTGTCTGCACTGTTAACTTTCTTACTAATTCAATTCACTTTTTTTAAAAAAGATTATTTATTTATTTATTTATTTATTTATTTAGAGAGTGCGCGAGGGGGCAGGTAGGGGAAGAGGGAGAGGGATAGAGAATCTCAAGCAGACTCTGCTGAACACAGAGCCCAACGCAGGGCTCGATATTACCGCCCTGAGATCAAGACCTGAGCTGAAATCAGGAGTTGGATGCTTAACCGACTGAGACACCCAGACCCCCCTAATTCAGTTCACTTTAAAATTTTAAATATTTATATTAGGCTTATCCTACATGCTATCTGTAAAAGCACAGACTGGATGCAGTAGTTATATTTTTTTCTAACATATTAAACCGAAGAGATAACAATGAAAATAAACATTGTTTTTCCATGTGGTGCCTACAGTATACTGTCAGCAGCTTGAGAAACAAAGGGTCTGAGCAAACCCATCTCATCTCCAGATGAAAATCCTCACTCAGAAGGGAGCCACCTAGGTTGGCTGGTGATCTCTGTCACTTAAGCTGGATGCTGGGTGCACAGATGGGTTCAGTTTGTGAAAATCAGCAAGAGGTTCACTTAGAAAAACTTTTCTGTGTGATAGGTGTAATTCAATGAAAAGTTTTAAAAGTATCTCCATATTGGGTGCCTGGGTGGCTCAGTCGTTAAGCGTCTGCCTTCGGCTCAGGTCATGATCCCAGGGTCCTGGGATCGAGTCCCACATTGGGCTCCCTGCTCCGCGGGAAGCCTGCTTCTCCCTCTCCCACTCCCCCTGCTTGTGTTCCTGCTCTCACTGTGTCTCTCTGTCAAATAAATAAATAAAATCTTTAAAAAAAAAAAAAAGTATCTCCATATTGTTTTGTGCTAATGGCTAGTACTAAGATCTGTGGCAGGTACTCACATAGGTCATGCAAAGCAATGACTAATGAAGTGAGTAGCCGCCATACAAACGTAAAACACTGGTAACAATTTCTCTTCTTCAGAGTTGTCATGTTCCTGCAAGCAAATCCACCCTCATGGAGACTGCTGGAAAGGGCCACAGAGGATATCACAGGCCAGTCAGAATGTTCACGGGATGATAAGACGTTGGTGAAGTGATCTGTAGGGCAGAAACAGACGATAATGCCAAAGGCCAGAGCCTTAATATCCTTATCTCTTAGTCTTTATTAAAGGTAAACAGAGATAAATGGAAAATGCCATCCGAACCCCACGAAGATCAAATTAGAGAGCGAGATTGCAGGGAATCAAATTGTACTGATCTGTCACAAGCACTTACTCAGATATAAGCAAACACACAGCACACTTTTTTTTCTTTTTTTTCTTCTTCTTCTTCTTTTTTTTTAACCCTACGGTGATTCTGGCTTTTAGACTTCTAAATTCTTTGGTCTCAGAGTCTGCCTCTCGCTGAGCACCCTCAGCACCCAGAATAAAAAAGGTTACAAAATCACTGATACTAGAATCTCTCTGCCAAACAGAAGTAGCTTCCATCTTCTGTTCTTTACGAACAGCAGAAAATAATCCAGTCTCCTCCTGTTAGTGGCCATGGAAACTAATCTCCAATATTTCTTTCAGCGACTGAATAATACTAAAAACCACAGCATTCTTCAGAGTCATCCATTAACTGGCTCCACACTAAAAAACAATAAAACTACCGGACCTTAAAATTCAACCTGCACATGTTCCATGGTAAGTCCCGCCGGTTTCCCGATTATTTGGGGGCCAGCTGAATAGGAGAAGCCCTGGGGAGAGAGTCACATGACTGCTTGTCAGAGAAAAACCTGGAGTCTTGTTTCCTCAAGTATCTCTGAAAGACCTACTCCTTTCCTATTTCCTACCATTTGGGTCTCCTCCCAGTGGTGTTTCTGCACTTCAGTGTGAAACACTGTTTCTTACCTCTGATTGTCTCAGAACTGGAAGCCTCAGTATGGAATTGGTGACCTTTAGAAGTCTCCTCTCTCCAGCCGAGCGTTCCCAAGAGACCTGCCTGAGCGGGCTCCCTCACTCTTCATGGACACTTGGAAGCCGATCTGTTTGCAAATCTGCTTTCTGGCAAGCTTCTGTAGTCTTAGGCCAACCAAATTTCACCTCCAGTTTCTCAAACTCTAACTGCACAGGGTTGCCAGCTTCTCGGTTTCCCCCAAAAGAAAAATGGACTTCCTTCCATCAATGTCATGTATGGGAAGGGCTGTCAAGGCAGGGATTAGCAGGAGGCCTCCAGTGACAGTTTCAGAGAGCTTGGTGCCAGGTGATGTCATTCTACCCCCTGAGTCTCGAACAGGGGTTCAGGACACGGCCGTGGAGTGGAGCTCCTGCCGACGCAAGCCCAGGCCAGCTGTTTAAAACCACGAAGCAAGGACAGGACAGGGGTGAGGGGCCAACTGTTCTGAGGGTGCAGAGGGTGCTGGTACCAGGCAGGCAGAAGGCAACAATGACAGGGAGGAATCCACTTGGGCAAAGGATTCCTTTTTCTCTTCCTCCACAGATGGCCAAGGCCGTACCTCGTCAGCCTGGCGTGGCCTGATGGAGCTTACACAGACTTCGGTAGGTGGTGCACATTTGTTTTCTTCACACCTTTCACACTGGCAATCTGGTGGAGACAAAGAGCCTTTCTTTCTTTCTTTTTTTTTTTTTTTTAATTTGCGAATCTTAGCTCTTATTTTGGAGGGTCCAAATGTTCCTTCCACGCCCTGTTAGTATTATAAAACAGGGAATTCTGGCTTTGGAGAGGCAAGGGTATGATTAATATGTGATGCATCTTAAACTGTATTTAAATCTTTATATTATTTTGGGAAATACATTCTCAACCACATGGTCACAGTTTTACTACTTGGTAGGATTCTTATACTTGATTCGGCACAGAGCTTTAAATCCTTCAAAAGACTCATCTAATGAAAAAGCCTGTTCTCTTAGGTTGGGTTCTCCCAGAAGCAGACTTTGAGTCAAGGATTCAGGTACAAGAGCTTTATTAAGGAAAGGCTCCCAGGAGACACCAGTAGGTGAACGGGGAGAAGGAGGAGAGGGAGACAGAAGAAGCTGAGCAAGGTGTGATTTCGTGGGAAGGCTCAGTCTTGGCCTGAACCAGAGGGGAGTTCTGGAGAGTAAATTATGCCTCAGAACATGTCTTTCCTTCCTTGGGACAAGGAAGCTGTGCTTTTGGATTTCCCAACCAGTCAGTTGCTGGCCTTAAGTCAAAGGGAGTGGTAGGGTGGGGTGGGGTGGGAGGTAGTGTGGACACAGGGACTATCAGGCCCACAGACACTGCTAGCTCCCCATGTGGGCTGACCTGGCTCGGGTATCAGCTCACAGGGGGCTGGACCCACAGGGCTGGCCAGAGAGGCCCGAAGGGATGTGGGTGGGGCCCTGACAGTGTGAGCCACAGGGCCATCCTCCACACTGCCTGTTCTTACCACCGGGGGCTACTTAGAGGTCTTTCATCACATTCTGCTGCAAAAGGAAACGAATGATGTCTTTTGAAAGTCCCGGGGTGGGCTTTTCATCATCCAGAGACACACCTCCTTCTCCCCATGGGTAGAAGTGGGTGTCCTTGGAATGCCTCCGTAAGACGGAGCAGCCGTCCCGGTTGAAGATGACCTGGGCCATCTGAAAACTGCGAAGGGTGTACTTTTGGTTCTCCTGGCCCTTCAGCTCGTTGATTTTCTGAGACAGGCACTGGCAGACCGATGCGGAGAGTGGATTTCTAGCGGCTGGCTGGGGATGGCCAAACATTTCATAGAATCTATCCAGGGATTTCCGAAGCCCATCATCCTCTGCCTTGGTCTCCGTCTGGCCCTTCACACCAGGGTCAAGCCAGAAGTTCTCAGAGGTCCAGGAATCATTTTGTTCAGTATTTAGGTGACTGGTGTCTGCAAGAGAGAACACATTCCAATACTCGAACACATATTCAAAAAAGCCAAAAGCAGATAATGTCTCTCACCACACCTACTGCTCTCGGGTGACTGGTAATGGGCAGGATTAGCTGATTCCAGAATTGATTCCCACCATCCTGGGGTTATGCCACTTGTTTGCTCAAAACAAGAACATCTTATTTGCATGTTTCAGGAGTTCTTCATCTATGGTCTTTGCATAGAGGTTCAGGGTAGCTGTGAATTTGGATGGGGAAAACATCGTATCTTTATTTTCACTAACCTCTACCAGAAATTAAGCATTTCCTTCCATAATAAATGTAGGCAACAAACCTATTAGCAGCAGTACCTATGACTTTGCAGAAGATGTTTTTAAATATCATTTATGCCTATCACTATGCTACGGACTGAGGTGTGGCCCTCCAAAATTCATATGTTGAAGCCCTAATCCCTAATGTGACTGTATTTGGAGATGGGGCTTTTAGGAGGTTATTAGGGTTAAATGAAATTGTAAGGGTGGAAGCCAAATCTGATAGGAGTGGTGGCTTTATAAAAAGAGGAAGAGATCTCTCTTTCTCTCTCTTTCTCTCTCTGTCCACGTGCAGGGACTGAGGGAGGACCATGAGAGAGCACCATGAGAAGGTGGCCTTCTCGAAGCCAGGAAGCCCTTCCCAGAACCCAGCCATACTGGCACTGTGATCTCAGACTTCCGGTCTCTAGAACTCTGAGAAAATAAATTTCTGTTGTTTAGGCCACCCAGTCTATGGTATTTTGTTATGGCGACCCAAGGAGACTAAATTACCACAGTTATTAGGTGCCTGATACTAGATCTTATTATTTAAGCATTAATTTACAAAGCATATATTGGAGACTCTGAACTCTAGGGAACAAACTGAGGGTTGCTGGAGGGGAGGTGGGTGGGGAGATGAGGTAACTGGGTGATGGGCATTAAGGAGGGCACGTGATGGAAGGAGAGCACTGGGTGTTAAATACAAGTGATGAATCACTAGATTCTACCCCTGAAACTAATAATACAAATGCAGTTAAGACCCCTAATGTAGACAGTGCTGGGCATTTACACAGTTCAGATATTGTCTTTCTCTATTCCCTACAGTAATCCTATAGACTCTTTGTCTCTCAATTAAAATCACCACCTTTGTGTTTTTAAAAGAGTAACAAATAAACTAAGTGACTTAATAATAGACAATACGAAGCCAGAATTGGAGCCAAACCCTAGTCCCTGATCTCACTTTCTGTACCTCCCTGGGAACCCTAATTCTTTTTTTTTTTTAATTTTATTTATTTATTTATTTGAGAGAGCGAGAATGAAAGACGGAGAGAGAGCACATGAGAGGGGGGAGGGTCAGAGGGAGAAGCAGACTCCCTGCCGAGCAGGGAGCCTGATGTGGGACTCGATCCTGGGACTCCAGGATCATGACCTGAGCCGAAGGCAGTTGCTTAACCAACTGAGCCACCCAGGCGCCCGGGAACCCTAATTCTTAACACGGGAATCTCTCAACTCTTCTGTAACAAAGGACTTTCCTCTCAATGGGTTCTAGGAAAGATCCCACACATATAATTTGCAGAATTCCTTATGCACCAACCAGTTTTATTCTTTATAACTTTATACTTCAAATCAAAATATTATATTTTCTTTTTCTGCTCTGATAGAAGCTTTACTAAATTACTAGCTTGAATTCCACACACACGCCTCTCACCCCCACTAACTCAATTAGTAGCTATCATAAAAATATTTGCACTGCTAATGATGAAGAAAGTTGTGTGATACAGTGGGTGGTTTTAGAAAAGGAGAAGGGATTTGGGGTTTTGCCTCTAGTCTCGCTACCAGCTAGACAACATACTACCTTGCTGAGCTTTAGCTTTCTCATCTACAAGAGTTTCAGTAAATGTTTGAGAACTTCCGCGGTAAGACAAGGAACAGAGAAGTAGATAAGCCAAAGCATCCAAGGATATGGACACATGTCGTATGAGACACACGTAGGCCCACACATGGACAGACATTCACTGGCCCACCATGTAAGGAGCCCAACAACAAAGCACTTAGCCACCTTGAAGAATGGCTGATTCCAGGGTGGTTACAGGAAAGTACACCATGAGACTGGTATTTTATTGTTCTAGAATGCTCAAATACTGATGGGGGCTTGTCAAGGGGGAGTAGAGGCCAGCTCAAAAGGGATCACCTGGCCACGTTCTGGAACAACTTGAGCATCAAAATAAAATGAGAGTAACAGATGACAGACCATTTATTAAAACAGAAAACCATGAATCCATAAAATAATTGAAAGTTTGCCGAGGAACAGGATAGTTGCAGTCTCAGAGTACTTCCCCCTAAAATACTTATTAGTCACAAATGGAAAAAGAATAACTTCGTCGTGGAGAAGCCTGGCACGTATCACCTCAATCAAGTGACCTAAGTGAGGGACCAATTGAAATCCTGTTGCCACGTGACCAGATGCAACAGGAAGACCCTGAGCCACTTCTCTGATAGTCCTGCCAAAGCTGCATCACCTGAACCCAATTATGAGGAAGTGGCAGACAAAACCAAATTGAGGGACATTCTGCAAAAGGACTGGCCTATACTCTTCAGACGTGCCAAGGTCATGAGAACCCACAGAAGAGTGAGCAAGGCTGTTTCACACTGAAGGGCACCAGAAAGACATGACAACTAAACACAGCACATGATTTTCACCTGGATCTTTTTACTATAAAGAACATTCCCAGGATCGACTGAATGGGAGCTGAGGATTAGATGGTAATAATGTACCCCGCTAAACTTCCTGATTTTGAGAGTTTCACTGGGTTATGGAAGAGAATGTCCTTGTTCATAGGAAAATCAGGGGTGGTAGGCATCAGGCCGGCAACTTACTCTCAAATAATTCGTGGGAAAAAAAAAAGTTCTTTGTATTGTACTTGCAAGTTTTCTATGAGTTTGGGATTCTCTCAAGAAAAATAAAGAAAACAAACCTTTGGAGGAATAATTGTTAAAACTTCATTTGGTAGCCTACTTTAATATTAACACAAACAAAAAAAAAGCCTTAGCCCAGGGCTTGGCAAACAGTCCTTATCTAACAAATGGTAGTGGCTATTACAGAGCCAAGGGGAGAGGGGGGTGGGCAAGGGGTCCCACAATGGCAGGATGAGCTGTCCCTTCTCACCTTCTTCCCCAAAGATGATCTGGTCCTGGGGACATAAGGCAGGAAGACAGGGACTAAGAAGGGTCAATGGGGAGAGTGGAAGAGAGAAGGAAGACCCTCAGCAGTGACACTGAGAAAGCTGGGGAGTTCCTCAAACTGCTACCTGAGGCAGCCATTGACCCAGAACCCTCCCAGTAGCACAGCATGTACTTGTTAAGGAACTGGCCAATAACTGATTTGAACCCCATGGCCTAAAAACTGGGCTTGTCTCCTCCGTTTTTCATGTAAATATCAAGCAGATTGCAACTCATTTTCAAAGAAACCCTCCTTCCCCTTTCCAGAAGAACAATGACAACATGGGTTGAGTTATTTACTACATCAGTTCTTTTGAACACCTTCCGCAGCTCATTTCAGTCGTTGACTTCCTTTTAAAACTTGCTTTACTACCAACAACAAAGCTATCTCTCTAATCATGTGGCTGTTGGCAGCCTTTCGGATATCTGGGATTTCTTTGCCAGCAAATAGAGTTAATTGCTTTTCTTTTCCTGATGCACCTACATACGGACAGCATGGCGATCTTTGATAACTCAGTCAGTTCCTGCATCCTCACAGCTAAGTTCAAACTGCACCTTATTCTTATATTAACATAGCCCAGATTTGTAGGTCTCTCAACTTGGGACAGTAATGTCTACTCTAGGGAGAGTCTGGGGATGTTTGTGTGTCAGTGATTGGAAAATGCTACTTGTATTTAGTGAGTAGGGTCAAGGATGTAAATATCCTATAAGGCACAGATCAATCCCATCCAACACAGAATCATCCTCCCCAAAATGCCAATAATGCCTCTTACCCCTTGAGAGGAACAGTGGCTCAAAGGATGGATTCTGGAAAGAGTAGGAAATGAATGCTGAATCCCACTGTGTTGTAATATATTGCTTTGCCTTGCTCCCAGGCACCTTTGCGGTTGATCCCTGCACAGCGCCTTTCTTGCTGGTACCCATTTGTACCATGCATTCCTCCCTTTTCAGACCTTGAGACCATTTTATTTTTCTCAGCAAGTGCCCCAGTCCCAATGATTTTGGCATTATCTAAATTGAGTGGAATTCCCCCCCTTTTTTTTAAGATTTTATTTATTTATTTGACAGAGAGAGACAGAGTGAGGGAGGGAACACAAGCAGGGGGGAGTAGGAGAGGGAGAAGCAGGCTCCCCGCCGAGCAGGGAGCCTGATGCGGGGATCCCAGGACCCTGGGATCATGATCTGAGCCAAAGGCAGATGCTTAACGACTGAGCCACCCAGGCGCCCCTGGAATTTCCCTTTTTATCGCAATTTGCTTCCATCACAAATAGAATTTCTTTAGGAATTGACAAGAAGAAGGGGAGGATGGCGCTGGGTATGGCCGTGCTTTTGCATGCATTGTTTCAAGGTCACCTATCTACCAGAGCATCCGTTTGTTAAATTTTCCTTCAACTGGAGAGAAAACGGCTAACATACAGATGTTTGGGACTCTTACAAACCTAAAAGTATTTTTACATCTTTTGGAGTTATAGATGATAGTTTGTTCAGTAATGCCAGGCAATCAATTAGCATGGAGGATTTGAGATTAATGGTTGCATTCTGTGAGGCGCCATTAGCCTTTAGAAACCCAGATGTTTAATGGGGGTTTCTTCTAGAGAATCTTCCATGGCTACGTCTGTGGTTGATAAGTACGCAGCAGGATTTTATCTCTGTGAAACATTTTAGCTTTCAACTTTAACACGTTTTTCCTAAATGGATTTGATATTTAGAATTCTGTCTCCCTCATGCATCAGCCTCAATAGCCGCCCACTCCACCTTATTTGTTCAGACT